ACTGTGAGGCCAGGGCTTGGTGTGGCTAGTGGCCAGGCAGGGGTCTTAGTGCTCAAGAGAATGACAAGCCCCATGCCTGCAGGTGGCCGAGGCTGGTGTCCCCTGGCAGGAGATGGCCCACTCTGTCTACGTAGGTGATGGCTAGAGGCCATTCCAGGCACAGGGTCCCCAGAGAGCTCACCGTGTAGCTCTCACCCTCACTGTCCTACACGGTGCGAGGTCCACGAAGGTGCATGGAGGAGGAGGCCCACCGGAAGCGTCTCCCTGGGGGTTCCAGGCCTAATGACACCAGTGTTGGGCACGTGAGCCTGTGGGAACAGTCACCCGGCCGGGGTTCTCAGAGATCAGACAGCTGCAAGAGGCCCCCATGTGACAGTTTGGATAGGAGGTGTCCCCGCAAGCTCATGTGTAAATGCAGGGATGTTCTGAACGGAAATCACTAGGTTATGGGGCTGTGAGCTAATCAGGGGACTTGGCCATTTGATGGGTCAACAACTGAGGGCACTACCATGCTGGGCGGCAGCTGCAGGCAGGCAGGGTGCATGGCTGAAGGAAGTGGGTGCCTGGGGGTGTGCCCTCGGGAATTAGAGATTTCTTTTTTTTTTTTTTTTTTGTACCAGGGATTGAACCCAGGGCACTTATAACCACTGAGCCCCATCCCCAGCCCTTTTTATTTTGAGACAGGGTCCTGCTAACTTGCTTAGGACCTTGCTAAATTATTGAGGCTAGCCTTGCACTTATGATCTTCCCCATCCTCCCGATACCTCCCACCCCTTCAGCCTCCAGAGTCACTAGAACTACAGGCTGGGCCGACTCCCTGTGGGAGTACACTCCTGCCCCTGGCTCCTTGTGGGACTTTCTCTGCTCTCCGGCTGCCAGGAGGCCCCCACCTTCCACTATGACTTTCTGCCCCGCCTCAGACCAGAGCAACGGAGTTGGCCCATGGTGGAATCTGCCTTGGAAACATGAGCCCTAAATAAACATTTCCTCCTCTTAAATTGTTCTTGCTATGCCTTTTAGTCACAGAGATGCACAGGTGACTGACACACCCTGGATTTGGTGTCAGTCAGGCCTGAGGGCAAACTGTGGATCGGCCAGGTGTCTGCAGGGATCTCTGAGCCTTGATCTCTTTGTCCATAAAATGGGGAGAGTGCCCACCTTGAAGGGAGGGGGGAGACAGCAGCAGCAGGAGGAGTAATGAGTACAGCGGTGAGTCAAGATGATCATCCGCTGGGTGGGGTGGTGCACAGTAACCCAGGAGGCTGAGGCAGGAGGATTGCAAGTTTGAGGCCAGCCTCAGCATCTTAGCAAGACCTTGCTTCACACACACAAAAGGGCTGGAGATGAGGCTCAGTGGCAGAACGCCCCTGGGTTCAACCCCTGGTACCTAAACAAAAGAAAGGTCCTCCTGGTGGCCGACATTCATGGAGCATCTGCCCCCGGCCAGGCCTGCTTGGATCCTCATCATCTCTTCACCTTCAAAACTGCCCAGGGGGGGTCCCGTGGCAGGTCACGTAGGGGCTGGCCACGAGGAGGGTGGGATTCAAGTGCTGGTCACGAAGGTGTGGGCCAGGGGTAGGGGAGCCACCGGGGGGTCTGGTCTGGAGAGCCCTGTCCACACAGCTGGCTCCATGGAGATGAAGGGGCGGAGAGAAGGTCCAGGCCAGGCCTGGCAGAGAGCTGCTGGAGAAGCTGCCCGGGCCAGGAAGGGCCCACTCTGAGGAGGGACGGGAGGAGGGACAGCACCCGCTTCACGGGAGGTGGCACACATTCGCGAGTTGATGAGTGTCCAGCGCTTAGTGACCTGTGGTTAGTGACCTGTGGTGACCCGGAAGGGAGGAAGCCAGGTGTGGGGGACGGAAGAGGAGCCCCCACCACGGGGTCCCCATCCCAGTCCCCACAACCTGCGAAGACACCAGCTGACAAGGCCCAGGGGACTTTGCCTTGAGATGGGCCCAGTGTGATCCCAGGGTCCTTCTAAGGGGAAGGCAGGGAGGCCAGAGTCAGAGAGGGAGAGGTGACCAGGAAAGGGAGGTCAGAGAAGATGCGGGAAGGACCCCACCTGCCACCCTGACCCCATGGGAAAGGACAGAGCCCAGGCACCACCTGCCACCCTGACTGGAGCCCGGCGAAACCCAGGTCGGGTTCTGACCTGGAGAGGAATGGAAAAGTCGATTCACTTTAATTTGCTTTCAGCCACCAAATTTGTAAGAGTTTGTCACAGCAGCTCTTGTTGGGCCTACCACTGGCTGAAGCCCCCTGGAAGACTGTGGTCTCAGTGATTCAGGAGGCTGAGGCAGGAGGATTGCAACCGTGAGGCCAGCCTCAGCAACTGAGGGAGGCCCTAAGCAACTTAGTGAGACCCTGACTCAAAAGAAAAAGGGCTGAGGATGTGGGTCAGTAGTAAAGCGCCCCTGGGTTCAATCCCCAGGACTTTGTCACACACACACAAAATACACACAGGTCTGGGCAGAGAGCAGGGTGAAGAAGACAGGTTAACTGCAAGATATCAGCTGTAAAATTATGATCCCCCTAACCTCTCTGAGGCACAGAGAGGTTAGGAAACTCATCCAAGGCCACACAGCTAGTCAATGTAGAGCTGGCAGTCACAAAGGGTAAATGATATCAGCAAAGGCCGAGCACACCTGACCCAATAATCTGAAATTTGAAAAAAGTTACAAATGCAACATCCCGGGGGCTGGGGATGTGGCTCAAGCAGTAGCGCGCTCGCCTGGCATGCGTGCGGCCCGGGTTTGATCCTCAGCACCACATACCAACAAAGATGTTGTGTCCGCCAAAAACCAAAAATAAATAAATATTAAAACAAACAAACAAACAAACAAACAACAAAAAAAAACCAAATGCAACATCCCCCTGCCCCATGAGGAAATTTAGCGTCAGAGAAGCTTCAACTAGAGTAACCAGGAAACGTGTTCGCAGAGTGCATGAAAAGGCACTGGCCAAAGCCACACTCAGCTTCCAGGATGACCCGGGCCGGTGACAGAGCTGCCAGCTACAGCTCTGTCAGGTACAATGACACAAGTAGAGAATCCCACCCCTGACCTTGTATGATGATCCTGGTCAAAACACAGGTGCACTAAAAATATCGCTCAAGGTACCTTCAGGCTCTGTGTATCAGGAATACAGGAAACAAAAATGCATCCCGTGTCCAGACGAGGGCGTAATCCCCGAGATGACTCATTATGTACACAAATATCCCCAAGTCTGGAGAGCCCTGGTCCCAGCACAACCTGTCCTGTGAATTGAGCAATTGACTCTGCACTGGATCTGAGGTACAGCACTTGGTGTGTCCCATACCAATGTTCTTACGAAATGAGTACCTTAAAGGAAGACGGACGAGGAGACTAGGACTCAGAGAGGTTGTTACCTGCCCAAGTCACACAGCTAGGGAGGAGTCCAGGTGGCCCAGGGTGTAGATGTGTCTGAGGTCAAATTCCACCAGAGTGAACCCGGCCCGGCCTGTGCTGCTTCCTGCAGTCAAGGGGGAACGGGGCCTGCGGCCACTGGCAGGAGCTCAACAGGCAAATGGTAGTGGTCATGAGGGTCTTGGGGAAGCAAGGCGGGCACCTCAGGGCCACTGTTTGTCTCCTGACTTTCCTTCCCGTGGGTCTTTTGATCTTTAAGTGTCTTAAGCTTTCCATCACTGGCTTTGGCCTCCGAGTTGTGGCTTCATCTCAGAAAACCTCAGTGGCTTGGGGTTTGGCTCACCCAGATCAATACCCAGCAGGGAGCGGAGACACGGGCTCGAAGCTGACCCCAGCTAATGGGCTGGGTCCACTGTCACTCAGACGGATGGTCGAGTCTGACCTGCTCTCTGCCAAGCAATGTCTGGGACAAATCCTGAGCTTTCTGAACTGGAGAGATGGCTGTTTTTTTTTTTTTTTTTTACGGAAAGGGAAGCTGGGCACTGGAGAGATGCTTTAGTCTGCCTGCCTCTGTCCAGGGTCCCTTTGGGTCATCTTTTTTTTTGAGTCACTGGGAATCACGGTATCCCATGGTGGCATTTTGCCTAGGCCTTCTCAGTCCTCAGAACTTCAATGGCTGTTTGCCAAGACCTCTCTGCCCAGTGCCCGCCTGCAGCCCAGACCCACAGCAAAGCCTCACGGCTGCCTCCACCCGTCCTGGGTCCACGGCAGACATCACCAATCGAGCACAGAGCCCTTCCTTTTGAGCCTCAGCCCCCTTAACAAAATGAGCCCCTGGAAGACAGTAAAGCCCACCAGGCCACCCTTCCCTAGAGGAGCAGGACACAGGACACGACAACATCCCCTCTACCCCATGATGCATTTAGCATGAGAGAAGCTTCAACTAGAGTAACTAGGAAACACTTTACAGAGTGTGAAGGTGCTGGCCAAAGCCACACTGAGCTTCCAAGATGGCCCCGGCCAGTGACAGAGCTGCCAGCTCAGGCTCTGTGCACTTGACAAGCTGACCTTGGCTCTGCTCTTGGCCGATTCTTTCCTCCTCTAAAAGGTGCCCAGGATCCCCCGCGTGATCCATGTGGCTGGGGGCGGTGGGTGGCCGCAGCCAGGACCTACCTTGGACTTGACCGCCAGGATGATCTTGGGCAGGGCCACGACGAGGCACTTGAGGGCGATGGTGATGTACTTCAGCACAAAGTCTGCGATCCCCACGATCCACAGCAGGTCAAAGAAGTCCAGCGTCTCCAGGTTGGGCTTCAGGAAGATGAGGCTGGGGAGAATTCACAGAGCCAAGATGTTTACCCAGGGTCTGGCCCTCGGTAGTTCTGCCTGCTCACCCGGGAGCCTTGGAAATATTACCTACAGAAACAGCACTGACCTCTGTGTCCCATTCCTGAGTCTGCTACAAACCTGCTGTGTGACCTCATGTGGGTCTCTTAACTTCTCTGAGCCTCAGTTCCCTTGAGGGTTATAGGGAGAGATGGGCTTGGAACATCGTTAAGTTCCCCTCAAGTTTTATGGGTCCACAAAAATCTTGACAAAAGTGGGCAAAGGAAGGAAGAAGGGGAGAAGAAGACACGCCAAAGGTGCAGAGGACGCAGGAGGACTGCTGGGTAGGTACTGGGCTGGCTACACCCTACACTCAGTGTATCTCATTAAATCTCCCTCTCCAGCAGGCACGGCTAACCTCTATAAAAAGGACTGAAGTGTGGAGACACAAGTCTCCCAAGGTCACATTAAAATAACATAAGGACGCTAGTATCCGACAGACTTGAGTTTGAACTCTGGCTTCTCCATTTGCTGGAACCTGGGAAATACAGTTTTCTCTGCAAACCCAAGTATCTGCATAAATCCAATGGGAATCACACCCTCCCTGACGGTGTTCCTGACAGGCCTTGGGGATCACAGACACACTGCAGACCCTGCCAGGCTGCGGTGGCAATGGTAACAGCAATTCCAGGAGGCAGGTGCGTTTATCCAACCCCCTTTGCAGATGAGAAAACTGAGGCACAGAATGGCAAACCAGCACAAGGTGGTACAGGTACTAAGGGATGGAGGCAGATGAGGTGCAGGCTTCCTGGGTTAACGCTCTCCCAATCCTTAGTATGCACAGGGCAAACCCATTTTATCTATCCGCGGCCAGCCACGTTAGACCTCATGCTCCATATCTGTTCTCAACTCTTGGAGACACACAACAAGCAGGGTTCAAGTTGGCAGCTGTCCACGGACCACACTCTGAGCAGCACCGCTCTCATCACCCCTGAGGATGAAGGTGTTATTCATAATTATGCGAACTGTAGTCGTAAAATACCTTGGCTTCTCACTTCATGCCAGGCCTGCTCTGTGGACTTTCTGCGTCTCACCTTCCCAAGATTCTGTGAAGTAGGAACTCAGATGCTCCTATCCTGAGTGGAGGGCACTGGGCATGAGTCACCTGCTCATGGGGGCTCAGCTAGAATGTGGCCCTGGAGTTGGAATCTGCACCTCTCCTTCCTTCCCACTGGATTAGAGGCTCAGAGCCATGGCCAGGATGGGTCCTGTCGGTCGCCCAAACGCTTTGGAAATACCTTGTTGGCCAGGCAGACAAGGGCGGGGAACGAAGCCTCTTTTTTCAAGTATCCTAGGAACAGATCCACCTGGTTTTCCCCCTTCTCTTTAAGCAGCTAGAGTAGGGAAAATCCAAGAGGATCCTCCATGGTGGCAACCGCTCCCCACACCTGCAGTGTTGTCCACATCCCAGTCTGTCTCCCTGGGACCCCTCGTCTCCAAGTTCAAGTGGACACCCACGTCGTAACACAGGAAGAGGACTGGGGCCTGCGCTCCCCTCTCTGGCTCCACTTGGTTCCTTCCTGGGGATCCCAAACTGGCTGGCTGATTGCTGCACTCTGCAAATTTTTTTATGTGAATCCGACTGTAATATAACAAGGTTCGGTCTCAAGCTTTCCATTTCATCTCAAAGACACCAGTTGGCGTTTGACTCACTTGCCTGGGTTTTACCCCATCATCTTGGTGCTTTTCCTTTGGTTTTTTTTTTTTCCTTTTGGTGGGGGTGGAGAGGGGGAAGTGGCACATTTCCCCCACAGAGAGTTCACTTGTTTCTAAAATGCTCCAGGAACTTTTAACGGGCTGACAGATTGATGGTCAGTTTTGCTCATTAGACGCCATCATCCATAATTACAGTAATTAACCCTAAAATAATATGATATGACTATATGTCAACTACTTTATAGTTAACCCAGTTCCTTCATGTATTTTCTGACACCTGGCCTTGCTATGGAGCCTGCTCAGGTGGATCAGGAAGAACTAACTTGGCCCTGGTTTCTCAGGTGAGGAGAGGTTCTAGGACTTGCCAAGGGGCAGAATGCAGGCAAGGGGTAGAATTAAGGTTCCCGGAGGTTGGTCATCAGAGTTCAAATCCTGGGAGGATCCAAGGTCACTCCTAAGTGCTGTCTCTGGGGCTGAGGATCCTTAGTAAGGTGCTGTGATCTGAATGTGGTTTGTGCCCCAAAAGTTTACGGTGGAGGGCTTGGTGCTCAGCGGGTGATGAGACAGGTGGTGGGGCCTTTAAAAGGCAGGACCTAGTGGGAAGCCAATATTGGTCCTTCTTCTTTTTAGCTTCTGGTCTCCAAGTTCATCTGGCCCCAGGTCCTCACAGGAGGCATGCCAACATCAGTGCCTTGCCCTTGAACTTCTAGAACTGCGAGTTAGATAAACCTCATTTCCTCATAAAGCACCCAACCTTGGGTGTTTTCTTATAGTAACAGATAACCATTCTCATCCTTCTGGATCTAAAGCCTTGGTTTCCTCACTTGTGAAGGGAGGATATGGCGTTACCCTGCTGGGTCACTAGGAGGGCTAAATAAGATAATGGCTGTTGGCAGCACTTACGTGTACACTGTAGACAGGTGGCATCTGAAAGGACAAGGACTGAGCTCTGTTGCTTTTCTCTTAAGCCACTCTCTCTCTTGCTCTTTCTATGCTGCCAGTTTGACTCAGCCCTGGTTTGATGGGGCCACCGAGGTCTGAGCCTGGGAATATGATCATGCCCAGAAAATGGCATGAGTGGGAAATCCCTCCAAGCTTCTGGGAAACTCCACCCCCTCTACCCTCCACCAGGACTGGAGATTCTGGACCACATGACCAAGGCAGGGGGTGAGATGTGTGTTGATGTCTTGGGATGAACTCCAAGGGCTGCTCTTATAGGGCGGCCTCAGAAAGTGTCCAAACTACTGACTCCTCAAAGTCCATTTTCAAAACAGGGGGACGTGATCTGCAAGCCCAGCTTGTTTCAACCCCATGCAGAGGCCCTTCCCCCACCCTCCACGAGACAGCCTTCCCTCCGTCCTGGCAGCCCTCAGTTCCGCACAGAGCGGGAACATTCTGGTAACATACTCTTAACACTGTTTCAAACACTTTTTCTAAAATGAAGAGGAGTGTTCCATTGACAGGGTTGTTCCTTTTTTTTGGGGGGGGTGGATACTGGTATTTGAGCTCAGGGGCACTCCACCACTGAGCCCTATTCTGTATTTTATTTAGAGACAGGGTCTCACTGAGTTGCTTAGCACCTCGCTTTTGCTGAGGCTGACTTTGAACTTGCGATCCTCCTGCCTCAGCCTTCCGAGCTGCTGGGATTACAGGTATGTGCCACCGCGCCTGGCTCAGGGTTGTTCTTTATTCTTAATTAATTCTTTGTGGTTAAAATACCTCATCTTATGAAATGATGCAGGTGGTAGATGATCTTTTTTTCCTAACTGGCAAAACACACATCATAAAATTTGCCTCTTGGCCATCGTTATGAATACAAGATGCTCACGCCGTGGACAACTCACTCCCAACTAGTGCCAGGGTTCCGCATCCTGCAGAACTTGAACCCACACCCATCAGACAACAGCTCCCACTCCCCTTCCCTTGGAAACCACCCTGCGACTTTCTGCATGTATGAATTTAACTATTGTAGGTACCTTGCGTTAGTAGAATCCTGCAGTGTGTTTGTGTGGTGAGAGTATGTGTGTGGGGGGGGTGTGTGTGAGAGAGTGTGTGTGTGTGTGTGTGTGACTAGCTTATTCCAATTTAGGAAATATCCACAAGGTTCATCCATGCTGTCACTTGTGTCCAAATTTCCACCCTTTTTCTTTTTTTCAAGGCTGAGTAATATTCCATTACATGGATAGAGCACATTCTATCCATTCAAATGCCAGTGGACACTTGGGTTCCTTCTACCTTTTGTCTCCTATATGATGATCATTTTGAAATGTGTTTTTAATTGCAAAAAGCAAGCTGCTGTCTACATGGTGGACTTCTGAATTTTGGCTGAGGGATGCTTCACTGGTTTGGGAAATCTCCAGGTCTGAGGTTTACAAAATCTTGTGGGTGGTGTAGGTCTGTGGTTCGGCTCCCCCCTCGGGTCCTCCCACAAACAGTTCTCAGATTCTGCAAAGTTGCATCTGTGGCATCTGAGCACGTGACCCTCCATTCTGAGATGCAGTCACCACTGCCATCCTCAAGGAAGCCATCTGGTCCTTGGTGACCTGGCCCTTCTGGCCACAGGTGCTTGGGCAGGACTGGACCCCTAGCCCATGAAAAGCCAGTCAGGCGCTCTCCTCTTTTTTTTTTAATTTTAAGGAAGCCGGTGAGAGGCTTAATCATGCCAAGAGCTGACATCAAAACCAATGTCAATGATTTCTGGCTGACGGGTTCCAGGAATTTCTCTGGTTCCTGCCATCCAAGGCCTGGTTGTTTGGCTTTCCTAGGATTGAGCGAGCCCCTCGCTGGAGCAAAGCCTGACATGACAGCATCCCAAAGGGCTGGAGTTGGTAACTTTTCTCAGTTCAGGCCGAGCATCCCTGATCTCCAAACTTGAAATGCGTAATGCTCTAAAATCCGAAGCTCTTTGAGCATTGTGATTTTGGAGCGTTTTGGGCTTAGGATGATTTTCAGATTGGGATGCTCTGTGGGTAAAGTCTACACAAGTGCTCCAGAATCTGAAAAACTCCCAAGTCTGAAACACTTCTGGTCCCAAGGCTTTTGGATAAGGGATCCTCTGTATAGTCCTGAGAACTGGCACCGGAAGTAACAATAAAGGCGACTTGTGGATTTAAAGTGAAAAGGTGGTAAATGAAAGAGAAAGTGTCATGAAGTGGTAAGCTCTGCATGTCACCTTCTCTAACAGGTACACACACACCTGCAGAGAAACATGTTAACCTGGTGGCAGTTTGGTGACAAGAATAGAGGCAATTTTGGCCTTTTAAAAAATGTGTCTTCTTTCTAACATTTCACCACTTAAAATAAATTACCTTCAAAGTCAGAAAAATAGATTACTTTTAAAAGGCTGAGCTGGGTGAGGTGGTGCACATCTGTAATCCCAGGTACGTGGCAGTCTGGGGCAGGAGGACCACCAGTTTGAGGCCAGCCTGGGCAACTCAGTGAGACCCTGTCTTAATAGGGCTGGGGGTGTGGCTCAGTGGTTAAGCTCCCTGGGTTCAATTCCTGGCACCAAAAAATAAACAAATAGATAAATAAATAAAAGGACAGGGGTCGGAGTGCGGATCAGTGATAGAGCACTCATCTAGCATGTGCAAAGGCCTGGGTTCAATCCCTAGTCATGCAAAAAATAAAAATAAAAATAAATAAATATTTAAAAAAGAGTTACTCATTTACTTATTTGAAAAAAATAATGAAACAACTATGGACGTTGTACAAGGTACCTGGGAAAGTGCCTCGCTTCCAGGAAACAGGAGGTGGCTGGTAGCCCCGAAACACTCAGGAACAAGTTCTGACAGTGTGACGGGCTCTGGGAGTGGGGCACTGCCCGCCTGGACCTGCTGGAGCTCTGGCGAAGCTCACTGGCTTCAGAGCACTTCCCGGGGTTTGGTTGCCAAGGTGATGGGATATTTTAAGGCAGCTGATGACCAATCAGGGCCAAGCAGTCCATTCTGTGTCTGTGGCTGAGCCTCCCACCTGCCACCGTGTTGCCCAGGACTCTGAGTCAAAAAGTCACATGAGAACAGAGTTCCCAGGTCAGGTGATGTGTGCCTAGGATAGGGGACCCTTGTTCCTGCCCAGATGAAACCAGAGAGGATAGATATTTTATCTCTTAAGAATTACAAAAGCACTGCTATTATTACAAAAAAGTCTGTCCCTTACAAAAACATTACAAAATACGGACAATACAATAAAGCATTACCATTACCCACACATTTAACCTCCAGAGGGCCATGGCTAATATTTTAGGTCGGGCGCACAATTTTGCTATGAAAGAATCATGACCTGTCATCCCAGCTACTCAGGAGGCTGAGGCAAGAGGATCTCAAGTTCAAGGTCATCCTGGGCAACTTAGCGAGACCCTGATTTAAAATAAAATATAAAGGATTAGGGGAATAGCCTAGCATCCTAAAAAGGCTCTGGTTTCAATACCCGACACTGGAAAAAAATATTTTAAATATTTTCAGTTTTGTCTGCTATATGGTCTTTGTTCGACTCTGTCAGCCAAAAGCACTCATACATCACATGTATGTGCATGAATGGATGGGGTGCAGCTGAGTTCCAATTAAATGTCATTAATTAAAAATACATGGATGGCTGGAGTTTGCCAACCCCGCTTTAGCATGTATCTCTAGATTTTTAAAAAAATGTACATATAGGGGCTGGGGTTGTGGGCCCGTGGTGGAGCGCTCACCTAGCATGTGTAAGATCCTGGGTTCAATCCTCAGCACCACATAAAAATAAATAAAATAAAGGTATTGTATTCAATTACAACTAAAAAATAAAATATTTTTTTAAAAATGTATACATATTAGTACAATAAAATGCCTTTAAAAAGTTGCTACATTCACAGAGAAGAAAAAAAAATTAAATAATACAAACAGCTAAACAGTTCCAACCAAGTTTCTGATCTGCAGTGCCCACCCCAGAGGCAATGCTGCATCTAGTGTCTCTGGAAATATCCAGACCTGCACTGTCCACACACTGACCCTTCTGAACACTGGAAATGTGGTCAGTTGGTAGGAACATGAGCTGTATGTGTAAGATGCCAAGTTACCAATAATGCAGAAAAAAATGAATGTACAATATCTCAAAGAGTTTTTATCTTGATTGCATGTTGAAATGATAGCATTTCCAATACTGAGTTGTCCCTCAGTGTCCCTTGAGGAATTGATTTCAGGATCTTCTACAGACACCAAAATCCAAAACGCTCAGGTCTCACAGTGAAAATGGCACCGTATTTGCATGTAACTTATCACATCCTCCTGTATGCTTGAAACCAACTCTAGATGACTTATAATATCCAATAGTACAATGTCAATGCTGCGTGAACAGTGCTCTACTCTATTGGTAAGGGAATAATACAGGAAGCAAAGTCTGCACATGGTTAGTGCCGATGCAATCAGCATCAGCATCATCATTATTATTATTATTGGTAACAGGGATTAAACTCTGGGGCACTAAACCATGGAGCCACATTTCCAGCCCAATTTTGAATTTTATTAGAGAGACAGGGTCTCACTGAGTTGTTGGTGCCTCGCTTTGAACTTGCCATCCTCCTGCCTCAGCCTCCTGAGCCGTTGGGATTATAGGCAAGCGCACCACCACACTCAGCATTAGATACAATTGTTTTTTCTGACAACTCCCACCCGAGGTTGGCTGAATCCTCAGATGTGGAGGCCGATTGTACTGGGTTAAATAAAATCTATTAGTAAAATTAGTTGTCTTTTTCTTTTTTATTATTTTTCTTCATGTGGCAGTTGGAAAATGTAAAGTTGTGTGTTGGGCTGGTGTTACATTTCTGCTAGGGTACCTAGGCGCCGGTGTGTAGCAACAGACTGGAGTCCGAGAGCTGAGACATGACACAGAGCTGGTGTGTCCTTCTCAAATGCAGGGGTGCGGGCCCCAAACCCAGCCAAGCCCCCCAACTCTTCCACTAGAAGGGTCTCCCACGCTCACCTGTTGTACAGCTGCTGGGAGCTGAATGTGTACAGCACACACAGGGTGTTCCCTGCCAGGAAGGCCAAGATCCACAGGATGACCAGCACTGACCTCTTCTCCTGGAGACAAAGCAAGAGATCTGTGGGGATGCTGCAATGACCAAGGCACACCTAGCGGAACATTCTGGAATGTTCCCCCATGAGTGGAAACCTCACGGTCTCACAGTTTTGGAGGAAGCAGGGCTGATGGGAAAGGGAAAGGGCACCAGCATCTTTCCATCTCACTGGGACCCAAGGGGTAAGCACAGAGAAGGTAACACAGTAGTGCCCACCAGATTGGAGAACCAGCTGAAGAGGGGAGGAGCTTGCGGCAGAGACCCTGGAGCTAGATGGCCGGGGTCGAATCTGTGGTGGGCTACCAGGGAGCTGGCGGTCACGGTTTGGAATGAAGTGTCCCCCAAGACCTCATGCACTGTAAACAGGAGAGACGGTGCAGGAATGTTCAGGGGTGGAATGATTCGCTTATGAGGGCCCAAACCTAATCAGTGGGTTACTTGGTCATGGCGGGATTCGAAATTTGAATGGATGACTGGGTAGTGACCACAGGCAGGTGGGGAGTGGCTGGAGGAAGAGGTCACTGGGAGTGAGGCCCTTGGAGATTACATTTTCTCTCTCTCTCTGCTTTCCTGACAGCTTGCCCTACCCCACCTCTCAGCCATGATGTTCTTATTTCAGGCCCAGAGCATGGCGCTGGCCGACCATGGACTGAACCCGTGAAACCAGGAGTCCAATATAAATGTCTCCTCGTCTTGTAATTTGGTCACAGCAAAAAAGAGCTAACACGCCATCAGACCCTGGGCCAGCTGCTGATCTCTGCACCTTCCTTTCCTCATCCGATCAGCAAGTGCTTGTTAGGACCTACCTTGTGGAGTCACACAGGCTTAGAAGAGCAGCTGGCAGCAGTGTTAGGTGACACTTAGGGTAGAACTGGGCACAGAGAGGTTAGGGAACTGCTGCTCAAGGGCACACGTTAAAGCCCAGGTGTCACCAATTGAAGAGGGTCCTGCCGTTAGGGATGAAGTCACACTTAACGTGTAAGCAGCGGTCATCCTGGTTTGGACTCGTGTCTGGCTCGCTAAGGGGCAGGGCCTCTGACAGAAACCCCACAACCCGGGAGTGGATTCAGAGCCAGGTGGTGGAGACTTCTGCTCCCACTTTTTGTCGCACAGACCTCTGGGCTCTCTCCTGGCCAGCAGTTCAATGTGGGGCCGCACTCCTAGGACAGGGTTCACACTCATAAACACGGCTGTCACAGCCTTTCACGGTCCCTGTCGGGTCCCTAGGAAGAAAAACTGAAAACCTTCTCAGTTTTCTGTTTCCTGGCAGCTTCAGGGCCCGAAGGCAAGAAGCAATCCTGCAAGATGCCCCTCAGAGGAGGCACGGAGACCCGGGAGACGCCAGCAGACCCCTCTGCTCGGATTCCCAAAAGCTGCTCTTCTTCCTGGCCGGGGCGGCTCCTTGCTGGAACAGGATGAGGTCATAACTTTCCCAGTGTGACCGTTCCTGTGGTTTCGGTAAATGCTCAAGACACGCTGTCTGCAGACGGCCCAGCACCCGCTCCCTGCTGCAGCACAGGTTTCCAGAGGGTGGACCCAACAAATGCATCTCCATCCACCCATTATTCTGGGAGCGGTCAAGGTTAACGACTACAGAAACCACCTCCAACCGGCCGACTCCTGGCTGTGGGATGGATCCACTCAGCAGCCCCCTTTTTCCTCAATAAATAATAGATCCTGGTTGAACTCCCTGTAAATCTAAACCAGCAATGGAACAGAAGGAGGACTCAGCAAGGCCCTGGGAAAACAGTGCACAGGACAGGGATGGTCCCTAGTAATGAGCTGGGATTTGTAAGTTCACTGAGCGTCACGCACACCAGCAAAACATCACTTGTGTCTTCACGGGGCTCAGGGACCCTGGAGGTTTGTCTATGAATCCAGACCTCCTTTCAGCCCCTAAATTTCAAGTCAAGGCACCACAAGGATGTTACGTGACAGGACCCACTCCCCAAAGCCTCCCTCTGTGGGGTTAAGTCAACCAGCTGTTCTAACAGCAGCAGAAAGGGGCTTACATGAAGATGAGACAAAAGGTCAAGAAGGACCTCTGGTTACCCCAGCTCTGGACTTCAACGTGTTCATGTACAAATGGAGACAGAGCTGCCCTCCAGGCTGCAAGGATCTCCAAGTGCTTTGGTGAAAGCAAAAGATGCTGTGGAAGGGTCAGAGAAGATGGCTTTGGTTACGGGACTGCCTGTGCCACAGAAAGCACACGTTTTACAAAAGAGCTCAAATGAAGGCTTCCTGTGTGTGGGTGCTGTGCTGAACTACTTCTCTGCAGTATCTCATTGAATCCTCTAAATGCAGAATCTCATTTGGCCTTCTTGATGGATCTGTGAATCGGTGTGACTACAGTAGGTGCTTCTTGACTTACGATGGGGCTCTGTCCCCATAGACCCACTCCAAGTTGAAAACAGCATTAAGTCCAAAACACCCTGACTTCACCCAACTTGCCCAATACCACGCTCAGCAGCACAGCACGGCACCTAGACAGCCGATGCTTCCCCCGGAGATGGCCAGCCGACTGGGAGCTGCAGCTTGTGGAGCTGCCCAGAATCACAGAAGGATCACACCAAGTATCACTCGCTTAGGAAAAGACCCAGGGTGAAAATTTGGAGTGGGTTTCTAATGAAAGCATATTGCTTTCTCACTATTGTAAAGATGAAAAACAATGAAGTCAGACTATCATAAGTCAGGGACCATCTATAAGCCTTATCCAGAGGTGAAGGCTGAGGCTGAGATCGCCAGGAATATCTGGCTGAGGGGCTGCAGGCGGTGAAGGAGTTGGATTTGAACTCAGAATAAGCACAGGCTCTGGGCTGAACTGCCTGGGTTCAAATCCCAGTTCCCACTTGCCCTGCTGTGTGACCTCGGGGTTAGTATCTCTGAGACACTGTTTCCTCACTGGGGAAATGAGTAAGAATGATTTTTTTTCTTTCCGTCTCCTTATCAGGTCACAGGGAAAAGGTTGGCAGGGCGAAGGCTGGCACGTGTGGGATCTGCCCGGTGGCGGCAGGCAGCATACCCAGCCGAGGAGAGCCACTGACCCCTGGCAGCTGTGAATAAGTTCGGGGACAGGTGGGGAATTCGGGCTGCAGGTGGAGTTGAAGTTGTCAGCTGGGCCTCAGGTGGGAACAGTCACCTGGATCATCCAGGTGGGCCCCGAGTAACCACAAGGGACCTCACAAGTGGAGAGGATGACCCAGAGGAGGGCTGGAGGGAGGGGCCACACTGCTTGAAGGGCCACAGGTGACTGTGGAGTTGCAAAAGGTGAGGAGGTGCTCCAGGGACTGCAGATGGAGCACGGCCTGGGGACAGCGGGACTGTCACTGAGAGCCCACGTGTAGGCCATGCACCATCCTGCTCTAAGCCACTTGGGGTGTGGACAGCATGACGCAGTCACAGGAGCCTTCCCCCCCCCACCGTGACTCACCTTCAGAGAGACCTGTTCCCGCAGCGTGGAGTTGGCGTAGGCGAAGGTGCTGGCCATCCCGATGCACACAGCGATGCCTGCGGTAGAGGGTCCCGCACCCACTTAGTCTCACTGGGCCCAGCGATGTTAGAAAAAGACCTCCCCCTGAGCCAGTAGGTGAACCACGGAAAGGGGTGGGATGTGACTCACAGGGAGCCTCGGGCCACCATGACAGGGACAGCATTAGGCCACGGGAAGGGGAATATTTAGCACTAGATCAGGAGCATGGGCTGTGCCATCTAGCAAGACTAGAAACACCATCCTTGCTTTGCCATCTCTACTGTGTGAGCCTGGGCAAGTCACTGCACCGCTCTGAGCCCCAGTTCCATCACCTACAAACTGGACAGAATAATAACAGTGCTCACCTCCCAGAGGGATCGGCTTATAGAAGATCACCTCCAGCCCTTAGGAAATAGCACCCATTATTCTTTCTACTGTCAAAACCAATCTGTGGATGTATGCTTTTATTTCAAGCACACATGAAATAAAAGCCTACATCCACAGACAAAGCCCAGGAAATCACAGGAATTAAAAGAACACTAAAGGGGGGGAATTCTCAGCTAAGAGGTAACCGTGACCCAGGCGGATGGGAGAACGGCTGAATCGGATTCCACAGCTGCCGCAGTGCCCAGCCGGCATCTCGGGACACTCCCTGCATGATGACTTCCATCCTACCAACTGTAAGCAGAATTCGCTTCGCACCTGGGCTTGGGGGCCACCTGCTTTTTCATTAGTGTGTGGACACCAGGCCTTCTCCCACAGCCACTCCGGAAAAGGGGTTTATCGTTTTTCACTGGAAACATAAAACAACTAGTAACCTTATTGTTCTTTTTTCCAATTTCCTTTTTGATGAAAAACAAAGCACAAACAAAACCAAAATATACTTATTGAAAAATAAACATACTCAAGAAGAAAACTTAGCCGTGAGTCTGCCAGAATTCGGGGTGACTTGTTTTGTTTTTTTGTTATTGTTGTTTGTTTTTGTACCAGGGATTGAACCCAGGATGCTTAACCACTGAGCCACACCCCCAGCCCTTTGTATGTTGTATTTAGAGACAGGGTCTGACAGAGTCGCTTAGGGCCTCACTGAGTGGCTGAGGCTGGCTCTGACTGGCGATCCTCCTGCCTCAGCCTCCTGAGCCGCTGGGATGACAGACGTGCACCACTGCGCCCGGCTACAGGGTAAGTTTTGGGGAACATGCTGGCTCCTGGGAACCGAAAGGGAAGGACTCACAGGGAGGTACTCTAGTGAGGAAGGAGAAGCATGGGAGCAGGTCAGAACTCACCCAAGAGGGGAAAACAGGAAACCAAAGATGGCCTAGACAACTTGTCTTCATGTGTAGGAAGAGAGTAATTCTTACCACCGTTTTTATGACAGGATTAAATAATAGTCCACAAATGCTGTAAGGCCAAGCCACACCACCATCTAATAGAAATAAGTACAAATAACAACCGTCCTGTGCCAGACACCACTTACTGACTGCTAAGGGTGTGTCAGCAGCAGACTAAGCCCTTTTGTGAATCGTCCTCTTACTTCCTAACACAATAGGGAGTGTTTATCGAACACTTGCTAAGTGCTAGGCTCTATGCTAAGTATTTTCATGTGCGTTAATAAGGAATATAATTAAGACAGTGATGCCAGGCACAGTCCTAAGTACTTTCTACACATTCACTTGATTTAATCTCACTGTGCCTCTGAAGTTCAGTGGTCCCCCATGTCATCTGGGATTGGTTCCAGGACTTCCGTGGATACCAGAATCTATAGATGCTCAAGTCCCTTATATAAAATGCACAGTATTTGCATGTAACCTACACACACACTTTCAGCAATCTTTAAATCATCTCTAGATTCCTTAGAATACCTAAAACAGTGCAAATGTCATGGAAATAATTGTTAGAATGTGTTTTTGAGGATGACATGGAAAAAGTCTTACATGTTTAGTATATATGCAAATTTTTCTCTGAAAAGGTTCCATCTGTGGTTGGTTGACTTCATGGATTCAGAGCCTGGAGCTATGGAGGGCTGACTGCAAAAGCTCTTTTTTTTTTTTTTTTTTGTACTGGGGAATGAACCCAGGAGCACTTCACCACCAAGCCACATCCCCAGCCCTTTTTATTTTTTCTTTGGAGACAGGGTCTTCTAAGTTGCTGAGGCTGGCTTTGAACTCACATTCCTCCTGCCTCAGCCTCCTGACTATACCCAACTTGCCCAATACCATGCTTAGAGCACAGCATGGCACCCAGACAGTCGATGCTTCTCCCAGGGTTACAACCACTGCAACAGGCTGTATATGCTGTCTTAACCCCTGGTTTACAGATGAGGAAACTGTGGCCTGCAACAGGCTGTATATGCTGTCTTAACCCCTGGTTTACAGATAAGGAAACTGTGGCCTGCAATAGGCTGTATATGCTGTCTTAACCTCTGGTTTACAGATGAGGAAACTGTGGCCCTGAGATTTAAACAACGCATGGTTAGGAAGGGGCAGAGTGGGGTTCAGATCTCAGAAGTCTGAACTCCTAGTTACACCCTTTCCACCAACTGGCCAGCTGGGGAAGATTCTCTCACAACCCCCACCCGTGGCAACTAAGGGTCAGAGAAGCCAAGTGACTTGCCCACAGTCATACAGCTGGTCAGAGAACCTGACCCCAGGTGTGAGGGCAATCCCATGCCCTCAGGCACTCTGCAGGCCACAGCCTCTGCTGTCTTCCTCTGACATTGGGCCTCCCGAACCCCCACCCATGAGCTGCAGGAGCTCTCTGTGGGAGGCGGAGGCTAACAGCAGTGTCCCCAGGGACTCACCTAGCTTATGCTGGAAGCACACCTTGGCCAGGAGGATCAGGATGAAGGGCAGCCCTTTCTGCAGCCAGCAGATCACAGCCTTCAGCTCGGACAGGGCAGGGGCCGGCGTCCCCGGCTGCTCATCGCCACCTTCCTCGGGGTGCCCTCGGTGGTCGCCGCCCACGTGCTGCAGCAGGGAGCCGCTGCGGTGGCCTCCGTGGTGGAAGTGGTGGTGCGGCGGGCGGTGGTGGTAGGTACCCCCCTCGCTGCCCCGACTGCCGCCTTCTTCCCTGGACGCGGGCATCTGGATGAAGACGTCGCCGCCGCCGGCCGCGGGCCCAAGCACCAGGCTAGCAGGGAAGGGGCTGGCGGGGAGGCCGCTGGCCAGGCCCGAGAAGAGCGCAGGCGGCGAGGCCGGCTCGGCCTTCAGGCTCTCGAACACGCCGCCCTCATCCACGCTGGCCTCGGGGCTGAGCGCCTGGCTGCGGCTTCTGCGCGACAAGGTGGTGTGCGGTCTGACTGTGGCCAGCAGGTCCCCCAAGTCCTGCTGGAGCGCCGTCCCCTGGGGAGCTACTAAGAGGGCAGAGCTAGCCCCACCCCAGGGTGCAGAGGAGAGCCCCACCTCGGGGTGCAGAGGGGAGCCCCTGGGAGGTGAGCAAGGCCATGTGAGGTCAGCAGGGAGAAGTCCCTACAATGGGATCCTGCTGGAGGGGCAGGGACCACAGGACACATGCCAATAACGCTATGGACCCAACGGTGTCCTCCCATGGGGTTAAAATGAGGTCATTAGGGTGGACCCTAATCCAGCAGGACTGGTGTCCTTTTAAGAAGAGGCACTTAGGACACAGTCACCCACAGGTGGGGACACAGCAAGAAGGCAGCCACTATGCGAAGCGCCAAGGAAAGACTGGGGAAGAAATGAACCCTGAGCGCCTTGACCTTGACCTTCCAGCCTTCAGCACTGTGAGAAACCTCCACTGTTGAAGCCACCTGTGGCCCCCTACGCAAGCTCACCCAAATAAATACAAACAGTCACAACAGCAGGGTCAGAACCTTTACTGCAAACTCTATGTGTTGGACAGTTTTTGTTTTTTTTTTTTTAAAAAAACAATACCTTTATTTTAATTATTTTATAAGTGGTGCTGAGGATCGAACCCAGGGCCTCCAACGTGCTAGGCAGAGCGCTCTACCACTGAGCTACAACCCCAACCCTGGACAGTTTTTTAAATGTGTCACATTGATCAACTCATTAAATCTCCCTCTCCACCCTGAATTGGTGCTGATAACATCCCCATTTCACAGATCAGGAAACTGAGACACATGGATTATTTGTCCAGAGTCACATGGCTGCTAAGGGGTCGGTCTGGCAGGGGGATTTGGACCCAGGCAGACTAACTCCAAAGCTCGTTTTCTTAACTGTTCTGCTTCACTGAAAAGCAAGCACAGAATTGTATAAACTCCAGGCCCTGGCGCTGGAGCTTCCCAAAGGGTCAACCTCGGTCAGAGTTGGTATTTGGTGGGCAGCTAAGAGTCACGGGAAGACAACTCAATAGACGGACCCACATTGGAACCCGGACTTCATCTCTCCCAGGGCATTATGATTCTGTACTCAGTTTCCGTGCTAGAAAAATGGGCACAAGTTCCATTCATGTCTAGTGTTCCTGGGGGGGAGTATCAAATTTAAAACATCCATTGCAATGAACTTGGACTGCATTAAGGGCTCAGCGCAGGGAAACTGTTCTCTCTAGGCCTCTGGAGATCTCCAGGGCCAAATTTCGCTTTCTAGTTCCAAGCACAGGCTTCTGGGGTTGGAATGAGGCAAAGGATTTGGTGGCTTTTTCGGAGCCATTGCCAAGGAGCAGAGAGCCCAGAGTGACCCCTCCAGGAACGGGGAGCCCAGAAGTGACAGCACTTTCCCATGAACACTGTGCCCTGGAGTTCTGGAGGCCCCCATCCTTCTCTCAGGCTATGTGGACTCGAGTCACACCACAGACACGAGGGGAGGACAGGCTCAATGTGTATGTGCGGGGGAGGAAGGGGTGGGCACACAGCCTCCCCGCCTCCCTCCCCTGTATGTCCCCGAAGTAGGTGTGGCAGGCTCCTCCTCAGAACCCCAAGGGTCTCCAGATACATCAGGAGCCGCTTAAAGGAAAAGCCGGATTGCATCCATCCTCTGGACCTCATGACCCAGGGCATACAGTAGGTGCTTAACAAACACATACAAGCTATCATTCAGTCATGCCATAGCCATACAACGGAGGCTATGGGGAGTTGACAGCTGCTCTCACACTTGACCTCTATGGATTCTCTGCTCATTCCGCATAGATTTAATGATTTCACTATCCCATAAAAATCTTATCTAAAGGCTTCTCAGCTTACACTTCCCATTCTCAGATAAATCCTAAAGATAGTACTGACAGCATCTCCATTTTACAGATAAAGAAACTAAGGCTCAGAGAGATGAACTTGCCTGGCCTCAGATTCCAAGGTCATGACACCCTTCTTCCTCGCTACTCAGGGGCTTTCCGCCTACGCCGTCACCCTACCCCATCCCATCCCGGCTGCCGACGCTCATCCATGAGATTCCAGCTGAAATCTCTCTTCCTTGGTGGGGTCTCCCTGCCTCCCCCAAAATGCCTGCACCTGCTTCTGGTTCTCAGGTACCTAACCTCCCCTGCCCGGGACCCGTCAATCATCAATGTATTGGGTATCTTTCCTGGAGACTTGTGGCCCTCAATCCTGGCTGCCCCTTATAATCTCTTGGGAGAGCTTTTGATAAATAAAGGTGCCCCAGCCCCCCCTGCAGACTAACTCAAACGAAATCTTGGGGGTAGGCCTCAGCACCTCAAGTTCTGGAATCTCCCAGTGAATTCTAGCATGCAGTCAGTACTTTAGACTGGGCATGCTCCATAGGGTCAAGGACCATGACTGTTTCTCTACCACACATCACAAGTGCACTAGCACATAGAATATGCTCAATAAATGCTGCTTTAAAAAGAAAATGAATAGCTGCATGCTAAGGCGCTTGTAATTCCAGCTACTACGAAGGCTGAGGCAGGAGGATCGGAAGTTCAAGAGCAGCTTCAACAACTTAGCGAGATCCTGCTTTAAAAACAAAAAAATATATATATAAAAAGGGCTGGGGATATAGCTCAGTGGTAGAGTACCCCAGGTTCAATCTCTAATGAAAAATAAAGAAAGAAAAGAAAAAAGAAATGCATGATCCCACTAAAATCTCTGAAAAAGTCTGCAATTGAAAAAAGAATTGACTTTATTTAAGCCTGCTGGTTCCCACAGAATTCCTTCTGTGCTTTTGAGACAAGCTCTTGCTCCGTTTCCCAGGTTGGCCCTAAGCTCCCAATTCCCTTGCCTCAGCCTCCCAAGTAACCAGTAAACAACTGTTTGTGCCCCACGCCCAGCTCACAGAATTCTTTTTATCCATGGAAAACCTATGAATGTCTTGCAGAAAGTTTGTTAAACACAGCAGGGGACATGCTGGTCTGGAGAAGTCTCAGGGCTGGTCTCTTTGGCTTTACAAACTGAACCTGAGGAGGTACATTCTCAGCAGCCTGGCACAACCTCCCCCTTTCCCCCCATGCTCCTTCTCCATCAACTCCCAAAGCCTGGGAAATGTGTGTCCCCCCCCCCCGGGGGCTCTGGGTAATAATCATGATAATATTAATAATGACAACAATAACAGACACCATGGCTATGAGTCTCGAGGGTCAAGAGCTTTTTCTGAACTCCAAGAAGCTGAGCTCGGAAAGCACAAGTCCTAAAAAAAGAAAGCACAAATCCTGGCAGCGGCCACACTGGCCCATGTGGATACCTGCACTGCCCCACGGGGCTCTAGAAAGCCCTCCTGCTCCTCCAAGCCCTGAGTTCATGGCGCTCTGGCACAACCAACAAGACTCAATCCACCAAGAGCTTTTTATAGTTGGTCCCCCTTCCCTGAGCCTCTCCCGGATGGCCAGCTGAGATTTCTTCCTAAATGGGAAAGACTATTCCTTGGGGAGACACAGAGGCTGCACTTCCAACTTAACCACTTAAGGTCTGGACCTGTGGCATCCCAGAACAAGTAGAGCTGCTCAGACAGGAAGCACTCAAGAATGTGGCATCTCAAAGCACAGAGTCTGGAAGACAAATAGACTGAGACCCAAATCCACTTCCTAGTCATTGACTTCAAGTGACTGACTTCCCCTCGATATACCTGTTTCCTCATCTGTAAAATGGACACAGAAACAGCCCTGACCTCAATAGTCTAACAAGAGGGTAGTGGGGACAGTCACTACTTGGTGGCCATTATTTTTCTGCTATGGTCTCTGCCCTAAAAGATCTCATGGTCCACTTGGGAGCAGAAGGCAAAGCTGTCTTCAGGGAGTGGAAGGCTCCAACAGACTTGCTTCTTACAAGCTAGATATATTTGTGCATTTTCACACTCATTATTTACAAGCAACTCTGAGTTTTATCATGTGCCATCTGCTGACGCAAAATTTGAGACGTAGGGGTGAGGTCACTTGCCAGAGGCACCATGGGAGATGTCCTTGTCTGTTTTCTGTTGCTATAACAAAATGCCTGAGACTGGGTAATTTATAAAAATATAGAGGTTTATCTGGCATACAGTTCTGGAGGCTGGAAGTCCACAAGCACAGGGTTGCTTCTGGTAAGGGCCCTCATACTGCATCATCACAAGGGGGAGGGCATCCCATGGAAGTAAGTGCGTGGGCCCAGCTCTCTCTTCTTCTTGTTATAAAGCCACTAATGCCACCATGAGAGCCCCACCCTGAGGACTTTAATCCTAATGACCTCCCAAAGCCCTCACCTCCAAATCCTATCAACATCTGACTCTGGGATGATGTTTTCAACTCGTGGATTCTGGGGACACACAACCCGGAACCACAGCAGGTGGGAAGTGATTGAGCTGGGTTTTTGGCCAAGGGTTGACTGCCTGGTAGCCAGCGAGCGACCTTCCTGCAGAGCAGGCAGCTTCATCCCAACCTTGGTCCCAGAGCTGGGCCTGGACTGACGGATACAACTTGTGATTTTGGAACCCACCTGAGTCACAGGGGACCGACAGTGGGATGTGAGGGCAGAAAAGCCTGGATGTCTGCTCCACGGACAAGGAGGTCTGGGATGGGATGTCACTGCACCCTAAAAACAGGTCCCCATGGGGTACACTCTCTTGGATTTAAACAGATAGCCATTCTAGGTGATAAGCACTCTAACTATGTGTATGGGTTCCCTCTGTCGTGATCTACTTGGCATCTGTGAATCACAGCCACACAAGGGACCAGAGTTGTTCACATCTCGCCTGCAACCTGGGGCTAGCCCGCCTCCGACTTTTTAACCCTCACGCGTACAAGCCAGTGTTTTCCCTGCCCTAAGTGACCCAGCGTCGGACAGCAAACAACTAGAGACCGCTCTACAGCCCGGAGCCCACGGACACCATTCAAACCACCGACAGCAAGCTGTTTCCCTGCTTGGATTTTCCTGCAGAAAACAGAGTAAAGACAATGGCCGGTGCCCCGCTCTGCATGTGACCCAGTCAGTGCTTCCCCACATGGCCCTGCGTGCCCCTCCTGTCAGGGAACCTAAGCAATGAAGAGCCTCCTTCACAGTCGTTGGCCTCTCCGTGTGGGTTCTCGTGTGTCCACTGAATGTTTCTGTCTCCTCCAGATTCAAGTGTGGAAATCCCGACCCCCTGAGTGATGGTCCTAGGGTGTGGGGCCTTTGAAGATGAGTGTGCCATGGTGATGGGATTCATGCCCCAGGACAAAGGCCACGGAGAGATCCCTGCCCCTTCTACTCTATGGACATGCCCCCAACCAAAAAAAAAAGAGCCCATCTCTCCAGCAGGAAGCAAGCTCTCGCCAGAATCTGCTGTCACCTTGATCTTGGATTTCCCTGCTTCCAGAACTGTGAAACATAAATGCTTGCTGTGTAAGCTCCCCTGCCTGTGGTATTTTTGTTACAGCAGCCTGAATAGACTAAGGCATCTCTATAAATTAAAACTCCATGGGCTGGCACAGCGGTGCATGCCTGTAATTCCAGGGGCTCAGGAGGCTGGGGCAGGAGGATGGTGAGTTCAAAGCCAGCCTCAGCAGCTTAGCAAGGCCCTAAGCAACTCAGGGAGACCCTGACTCTGAGCAAAATACAATAACGGGCTGGGGAGGTGGCTCCATGGTTAAGTGCCCCCGTTCAATCCCCAGGACCCCTCCCCAGAGAAAACAAACAAACACATTCCATGGGTACAATCATTGCTAAAATGAGTCAAGTAGCTCATCTAACACAGGGTTTGAAAATGACCATAAAAGTGAGAGCAAGCTCTTATGGGATGGGTATTTAGCATAAAGCCATCACTGTGTGCTATGGTTTAGGTACAAAACGAGTGTTCCTCTAAAGTCCATATGTAAAGACTTGGTCCCAGTGGTGGTGGTACTAGGAGGTACTGTGGACCTTTAAGAGGTGGGGCCTGATCAGAGGTCCTTAGGTGCTTGGGGGTGTTCCATTGAAGGGGACCATGGGAACCCAGTCTCTTTCTCTCAGGTATTTTCAGACGTACTCGCTTGTTCCCACACATGGAACCACCATTGCCAGCCATGCCATGAGGTGATGAGGCCAAGGAGTGATGCTGAGCCTGGGCTGTGCCATTGAGAGTCTCAGCCTCCAAATCTGTGAGCTAAATAAACCTTTTCTCTTTGTAAAGTTATCTGCCTCAAGTATTTTGTTGTAGGAATGCAAAGGTGACACTCTTCAGACCAGGTTCCAACTGGGTCTCCTCTGTGACTCTAACAATTACCTCCAAGTGGCAGATCTTTTCAATCCAGTTTTGGGCTGTCCTTCACTACTCAAAGCCCGGAGCCTTTGGGTGCAACAAAACCCGGGGCCACCTACCTTTCGGGTGGGATGGTGTCTGTGTTGCTGCTGTGCCGCCTCTGCATCTTCCTTAACACCTGGAAGCCAACACAGGAGTGAGCCAAGCCTCCCACACGCCTCTCACCTTTCAGGTCACCAGAGCAACCCTCAGCCAGTCCCACCTGTATCCTGCATCCCTAGAGCCCTCTGACCTTTTTCAAACTTTGTTTCTTTTTGTGGCCACTTGATCCTCAGTTCAACATTTATCTCTGCAGGAAGAATGATCACATTTTGCAGATGAAGATGTTGGGACATAGAGGTGGAGGAGGTGCTCACGGGGAAGGAGACAGGAAGGAAGAGAGGTGTCGGATGTGGTGAAGGGAGCAGTGGACAAGTAGTCAGGGGATGGGTGAATGTCCCTAACTGGCTGTGTGACCTTAGGCAAATCAGTAACCGCTTTCTGGCTCCAGATTCCCCATCGGTTCCACTGGTGGAGTGGAGTGGCCGAACACCAAGCTTCCTGCCATCCCTCGCATTTACTGAAGCAGTAATGAAGGTTGGATTCTGATGGAGACACGTCACCTGGTTCACCGTGAGGAACCACATGGACTTCAGGCCTCCATGGTGACGACGGCTGAGGTGGATATTCAGGGCTCCTGGTGGGGATGCGACCACTGGATCCGAGAGAAAGCAGGCCTTCCCTTCCTTTTCCTCTCCAGAGGGACACACAGGTTAGGGAACTAATCAGACTCCAAACCCTGGAGGCACAGAACGCTTGGGTAAATAATTCACATATAGTCCAGTAGACGATAATTCTCGTGACATCAGGGCTAACTGTACCCATCTACTTATTATCTCTGGGTGGCTCCTTATGGATCTCTCCTTGAGTCTCTCTAGGACAATTATAATCCGAATGTATTTTGTCCTGTTGACAAAAGAGGAGCCCTTCTGATTGGGGAATTCAGAAAATATGGCTTCCCACAAAATCCAGAATAAAACCCAAAGCTCTGCTCACAGCCTACAGGTTCTGCCTGACTTAGCATCACACACTTCTAACCTCATTTTCTTCCATGCTCTCTTCTATGATGCACCTCCAGCCTCACTAGTCTTGCTGTTCCTCCAACATGTCTGCTGGTCCCTGCCTCAGGGCCTTTGAACTGGGCTGTTCCCTTTCCCTGGAATGCTTTTCCCTCTGTATGTTGAAAAGCTAGCTCCCTCAGGTCAAAAGTCACCTGGGGTGGGGGGCCTTCTCTGTTCACCCCCCCATTCCTCCCACCACTGCACTGTTATTTTCTCCATAGCACTTAACAGTTATTTACATGTACATTAGTTAATTTGTGATCTCTCCCCTATTAGAATGTAAATTCCACAAAAACAGGAATCCTGTGCACCAGGTTTGTCCCTTTATCTCTGCATCTAGAGTGCTGCTGGTCACAGAGAGCACTCTGCAAATATTTATTCAATAAATAAAACACCCATGAGTCTCCCACTTACCTTTTTCTAGATCACGTGCTCACTGTCTCACCTCTCACATAACAGAAGAAAACACTGTGGTACACTTTCCATGAAAAGGTTTGGCCTCTTGGAATATTTTCCTGTCCAGGACCACAGATGGTCCCAACTCTTAGTTCAGGGCACCATAACTGGCTGTTGAATGACTTCCTACTCCTGACCAGGCTTCTTAGGGCCATAGAATAGACAACCCTTTTCCTTTTCCTTTCAGAACACTAGTTAAGAAATGGGTCAGCAGCACCATCTTTATGTATAAAGGAAAGATCATTACATGTATATTTTCCTCAGAACTTGCAATCTTGCTTAATAACTTAGCTTCAACCTTCTATCTGCCATCACTTGCAAATAAATCCTTGGAGAAAATAAAATACAGCATCCCAAGGTTTCTAACCACAAATTTGGCACAACCTCCTAAATCGAGTGCCCAACACTACTTTCAGATGCTTGCTTTTGAAGGGTCTTCAGATTCTGTGTTGGACGCAGGCCATACATAACTATTTCAACATTGAATTCTGGAATGAATTTTTGTACCTAAATAATTGAATGAAACGCCTTTCAACCCTCTGCTCCATGCATAGGTCTAGCTCCCTATGAAGGACCACACCGAGACTTTTCTGGCCGTTACTAGGCTGCCCCAAAGTGCCCGCAAGGGAGCATCTCCTGCATCCCTTGCACTGGAAGAGGGCAGGTGCACTTTGGATACAATGTCGACATGGCTTCTCATTCCAACAACCCCATGCACAGCGGAAAACACTCTTAAAACTCCAAGGGCTTCACAGACCACGCGGGGGGCGGGGGGAGCCGCGTACTCTTTTTTACCTGCCCAGACAATTCAGCAATCACAGCCGCATCATTCACATCCAGCCAAGCCAATCACTCGCCGGTCCTGTGCGTCACGTGACTTCCGAGTACTTCCGGCCTCTG